GGAGGCCCGCCTGCTGCGGGCATCCCCCGGGTCCTGCCCCGGAGACGCCGGACTCGGCGGGGCCTCGCGCCCCCCCACTCCCGTTATCCCGCTCGCTAGGGCCTGGGCAGGGCCCCTGAGTTCCTGACCGTCGGGCCACCAAGGCCGTCTGCAGGGCCACGAGGGGACCAGGAGGCACAGAGATGACTCACCCCATCTCCCCTCCGTCATTCAGACCCAGACCCCCAAATCCTATACCAGACTGAGCTAACTCCCTGCCTCCCTGCCCTGCCAAAGTCCAAATGGAACCAGAGTCCCTACTTCAGCTCCTAAGGGTGCCGGGCAAATAACAGGGCCTGGATACATGTAGTCTACCTGCACTGCGCAGGTGGGGGCCAAGCCGCCTGATGCAGGATCCAGGCCACCAGCACATAAGGTCAACACACAGGGGAAGTCTGACGGGGGAGGAAGGCGGGGAAGGGCATTTGGGCAGAGGGCACAGCTTAAGCAAAGGCCCAGAGAATCTGACCTGTTCAGGGAACTCAGAGTCATCGCTCCTGGGGGGCTGACTGCAGGCAAGGAACTGGGCAAGGCCTGTCCTTCCACACCACAGCCTCTCGGGCGTCGAGGTACTCTGTCACCAAGTGCTGGCTGCGAAGTGCCAGGGGCGCCCAGCCAGGTCCCGCCTCTCTGGGTTTGTTTCACAGGCCCAGGCCTGGTGAAGTGCAAGGTCCAGGAGCCAAGACCACTTGAACTAGGAGGTTCCCAGGTGAGGAATTATTGCAAGTCCTTGCAGGAACCATCAGAGACCAGAGATTGGCAGATGAAGCTTCACCCCAGCAAGGTGGACGGACCCACCCCAGCCACATACCTCCGGTGTGGTGTTGGTGTACCCCACATGTGTCCCGAGCTGCTTCTCCCCCTCCCCACTTCCCAACCTTCGCTCAGGCGGTACCCTCTCTCAGAGTCCTTCCCTTTCTCTTGCCATTAAAATTCAGCTCGGGGCGCCTGGGGGGCGCAGTCGTCGGGCGTCTGCCTTCGGCTCAGGTCGTGGTCCCGGGGTCCTGGGATCGAGCCCCGCATCGGGCTCCCTGCTCGGCGGGAAGCCTGCTTCTCCCTCTCCCACTCCCCCTGCTTGTGTTCCCTCTCTCGCTGGGTCTCTCTCTGTCAAATAAATAAAATCTTTAAAAATAAACTCCTGCTCGTCCACCAAGGCCTGTCCTTCCCTGTGCCCCCAGCAGCACCACGAGGTTCTCAGCCCCCTCTGCCCTCTGGGGAACTCAGCCTGTCTGTTCTGGCTTCTGGGCCTCGTCACCTGACTACAGGTGCCCAAGGGCCAGGGTTGGCCCCAGGCTCTGCAGAGAAGGGTGGGAACCTGTCCACAGACCACGGCCGGGGCAGGCCCAGGAGGCCCAGAGAGGCCCAGAACTGGCCCCGGGTCACCTGTCAGGGCCTTCAGATAGACCCCCTGGGTACCCCTGGAGTGAGGGCCTGGGGTTCCAGCAACACAGGCCGGCTCCACCCAGGCTGCCGGGTCTGGCTCTTCGGAGAGCACCAGGGTGGTCGTTCCCAGTGGGGATCTCTTCCCGAGCACAGTATGGAAACAGGGCCACAAGCCCAGGGCGGCCAGCACGCCCAGTGCCGTGTCCTGCCCGACAAAGAGGGGCCTTCAGGAAGCTCGCTCCGTCCTCCGACTTGATGCGAACTCACAGCTGGGGCTGGGGTCTCTTCTGTCAGACGTCAGACCCAGCAGGACTTGGACCTGCAGAGGTGAGGGGAGCCAGGCAGGGCACCGCAGGCCGAGGGGACTGCTTCGGCGAAGGCCAGGCAACAGGCCTGCTCATTTGCATGCAGGGGCCACCAAGGCAAGAGCCGCCGCCGCCGCCACCACCACCACCACCACCACCACGGCTGCCTGAGCGGATTTGAGCTGAAGCTCTGTTTTCCTTCTGTTCTTGTCTCTCTCTCAAGGTCAGAACCAGAGCAGGGACAGGAACAAAGGCATGCGTCCCCCATTCAACCTCTCTGCGCCCCGCTGGCCCGCTCCTGGAGGAGGGGCCCTGGGGAGGGGGGGCAGGGCAGCTCCCAGGCCTGGCCAGGCAAGGCAGGGGTGGGGGCACAGGAAGAACGGCAGCTGCTCCCGGGGACTCCTGCCCTGCTGGGGGCCACTGTGGGCACCTCAGAGGCCCTGTCCCCTCCCGGGGCTGGCGGCCACCCCAGCCTCCAGACGCAGCCAGCACACGGGTCAGCTGGGGCCAGGGGTCATTCTGGAGTAAGCTTCCTCTGGAGTCAAGAGTCAGAGATCAGGTTCCCTCTGGGGACAGCGGTCAGTCTTGGGTTCAAGGCTCAGGCAAGGTCAGAGGTCATTCAGGGTTGGCTGTCAGCCCCAGGCCCAGATCCAGAATAGGGTCTCTGATGGGGTCTGTCCCTGTCCACCCTGGTCTTGGGGGTCTGCCCCAGACTTGGGGAGGGTCTTGTCCAGGCCAGGCCCAGACTCGGCTCCTAGCCTGTGTCTAGCACCCCTGACCCCCACCACCTGCTGCCCACAGGGTGAGTCCCCGTGTTTTGGGATCAGCGTCTAGCACCCTTTCACCTTCAAAGGCTGCAGCGCCAGGGAAGAAGCTGAAGCAAAGCGGGAAAAGTTTCTCAAAGAATAAATCAGACCCAGTCTGCCCTCTGCTCTGGTTTAGCGGTCGGGGCAAAGAGGGGGACCCACGTCAGAGCCAGCAGAAGAGCCCCCCTCGGTTCCTGGGAAGACGCCTCACTTTGACCACGGCCAGGTGCCAGCAGCCCGGGTCAGCCTGAGGTGCCAGCTTCCACTTGCCCGTTTCCCAGATGGGGAACTGAGGCCGGGGTTGGGTCCTGTCTTAAGCTGCAGAGCAGGTCAGCCAGGAGCCAGACACCCGGCCCCCGGCGGAGCCCAGCGTGTGTGCTGCTGGTGATGGCGGGGACTCGAGGTGCCAGGAGGGGCCTGGAGGGCTCTGGCCGTGGACCTGCGCACGCCCACCTGGCGGGGCAGGGGCCACCGGTGTGTGTTCATACCCATGCGCACGTGTGTCCCGTGTCGCGCACTGCGCCTGGGTGGGAGTGCGAGACGGGGAGGGAGGTGGGGATGCCCGAAGCCCCTCCCGCACCGTCCTCGTGCACACATGGGCCCTGGAGCCGGCAGGCCCCTGGCGGGGCCTTTCATCTCCAGCTGACAGGCCCCTCTTCTGGCTTTTAGCCGCGGAGAACTTCCTGCTAATCGTGCATTAACCTTGGCAGGGGCTGCCAATTACTCAGCGCTCGTGGGGGGGGTGTGGGTGCGTGGTGACTGCTGCTGACAGGCCAAGGGCCGGGAAGCCGGCGGGGCACCCCACCCTCCCCTACTGGGGTGGGCACGCGGTGGCTGGGCTTGGCAGGAGGGACATGCAGTGTGTTCCTAGCTCCGGATAGGAGAGCGCAGGGTCTCTCCTGACCTCATTAGAGTAATTAATGTGCCTTTTGAAGCTCGGAAAATCGCTCAGAGCTGTGGGAAAGGGGCTCCGATCACAGGGCGGGAGAGCTGGGGACGGTGTCTGCATGCCTGTTAAAAGCGTGTCCCAGTGGGTCTGATACAGAGACGGAGACACAGAAGGACAGACGGAAAGGAAGAACTGAGAGAGGCCGTGCGAATGGAGATGCAGACAAGCAGGCAGGCGGAGGGTCAGGGTCAGAGAAAGACCCACGCGCACTAAAACAGAGACCCACGGTGGGAACGGATGGAGCAGGGTCTGTGACATCTCCGGGCCTCCCAGGGACGCTGGCTGCGCTTCTCTGACCTTCCCGCTGGACCCTCAGTGCAAGACCCTCCCAAAGAACAGGGTGTGAGGAGCAGTCAGGGAGGACTTCCTGGAGGCACCACCTGGCCATCAGGGGAGAAAGGGGAAATGTGAGCAGACTTGGGGTGGGGAGGAAGCCAAATGAGATGCCCAGGGAAGCAGACTAGGAACCAGCGCAGAAGACCCCAGCTGGAGAGGGGCGGGACCAGCTCCCCGTGCTGGAGACCACCTCTCTGCCCCCTAGCAGCAGAGTGGACACGGTAGGAAGCTCAGCCGGCCTGGGAGGTGGACAGGCCCACGGGGCTGCCGGATCCCGATCGGTCCATGCCACCACGGACATGGGGACAAGGTGGGGCTCAGGATGAGGCATGAGAAACGGAGGCCCCAGCTGGGCCTACTTCCCGAGTTTGGCTCTGGGGCACAGGACAGGCCACACCTCCCCCCAGCCCCCCCCCCCCGCAGGCCAGCAAGGGAAGAGGCTGGGCGGCACAAGGCTGCCACCTGGTGGCAGCGCCGCCCAATGACATGGCTGTGATGCACCCGCCCAGCAGCCAGCCTCTGGGAGACCTCAGGCTGGGCGGCCACTGGCCAGCCCGTCCCCTCTGACTCTCTAGGATCAAACTGACAGAGGGTTGGGGGTGTCAGGCCAGAACTGGAACCTGCCCAGAAGCCGCAGCTCACAAGGGAAACCAGGCCCACAGAGAAAGCCACCAAACTCCTCACTGAGGATGCTTGCACAGGTGCCTGATGGGGAAAGGGCACGGTGGGCACGGGGGTCCTAAGGCCGCAGGGAGCTCCAGCCCCCCCACACCTCTGCCCCGGGGCTCCTTGGGAAACACTCCCAGAGGTGCCTGAGGTGCGAGCAAGGTCAGGCGGGGTTACCAGAGGGCATGGCCCTGGAGAGGCTCCAGGTTTACCAGAGCACAGAGGAGGGAGCCCTTGAATGAGGGTCTGGCCTGCAAACAGAGGAGTTCTCTCCAGGCCCTGACCCAATGACCAGCAAGATCTTTATCCAGGCAGGTGAGGGCAGGTCTCCCCCAGGTCCCCTCCCCCCGGGGGACCCATCAGTGGACCCCCGAGACAGCTAGGTACAAGTCCAAAGAAGCCCAGCTTGGTCACAGATGGGAGAACTGAGGCCCAATGGAGCCCTGGTCGAAACCGCACCCCCGCCACCTGTGCACTGGCTACAGGGTTGGGCCCCATGAGGAGGAGAGCGCCAGATACACATCCACAGCCGCCTTTATTGTCCCAGCCCAGCGGGAAGATGCTCCCAGACAGGGCCCTCACCCCCCGCGCCCGCCCACCGGGCTTTAGCTCAGCCGCCTCATCCCCAGAGCCGGCTGAGTGGTACCGGTCCCAGTCCCGCCATTTCCCAAGGCCTGCGGGAGGCTTCCGGGGCCGCTGGCTTCCACCCAGCATCCTGCACAGTCCTGTCTGGGTCAAGGGCCGAGGTGGCGTCGGGCTGAGAAGCAGGCGAGGCAGGACCCACAGGAGCTCTCAAAGTCAAAGCCGGAAGGAGGATCAGTGAGTGCACCAGACACTGGGAGCAGGTTCTGTCTCTTGCCCTCTTCCCAGGGCTTCTGGAAACGCCGCCTGCCTGACCTGAGCATCTGGAGGGGAAGGGCAGGGGGTGAGCCCACACTGTGCCTGGGGTCCACCCTGTAAGTGACAAGCAGAGGCCTTACCTGTCCAGCCCCTCCACGGTGCTCCACCAAGGTCCACCTCCCCCAGCTGCTGGGCCCTACCAGACGGCCCACCTGAGGAGGAGAGGTCCCCCAGCCAGAGGGGATCCCAGATCCCACCAATGCCTCTCCTAGGGGCCTGGAAAATCACAACTGGCCCCTGGCCCCTTGTCCACACCCCCCGCCCCCAAGACACTCGGGGGGTTGGGCAGGCCTTCACTCCTGCTCCAGCCCTGTCGTGGGCTCTGTGCCCAGTGGCCCCAGATACTCCCCCAGGGCCTGGGGACAAGAAGGCCACCCCTGACCCGGGCTCTCGGCACCCCCCACCACCGATTCTCCACCTCGGACACTGATCTTGGCCTTCGGGGTCCGAGGACAGCAAGCACCCACTGGTGCAAGCGCCGCAGCCTGGGCCAGCCTTGGAGAAATGCCTAATGGAAGCCAGGAGCGGGTGAGCCCTGCTCCCGGGCCACAGAGGTGGCAACTGCAAGGCCAGCACCAGGATCACGGCGATGGCCTCACCCGTTGGCAGCCCCCGACTCTCCGACCTGGCCCACCCCCAGGGTCGAGAGAAGAGCCCCTGGAATCGGGGGGCGGGGGCTGCCCTACCATCTCAGAGTCCGGGTCTCAAAGACGATCTCCTCGTCACTGTCCAACGACGCCATCTCCGTAGCGTCATCGGTGTTGGCCAGAAGGCCGTACCTCCTCCGCTGTGGCTTCTTCAACCTACAAGCAGGCCAGGCAAGCTCAGCAGCCGCGCGGCGGTGCGTCCAGGAGGAGGGGTGCCTGACACCCTGCCCCGCTTCCCGCCTTCCCTGTGACCAGCCTCCTCGGCCAGACCCTCCTCAAAGCCTTGCTACCAAGCTTCCTAGTCTGTTTCCTTTGTGTCCTACCAAACAGTGACTCTTCATGGTTCTGATGGTCCTCACGGCTCAGACAGAAG